TGTCTGAGTCTGATGTAATAAACAGGGAGAATGGAACTCAAAAGTGTCTGTCCTGTGTAGCCATTAAGGGTCTTTTTGGCCATCCTTGCTGTCCCCCCATTCTTAGAGCTCCTAAATCCAGCCTAGTACGAGAGAAGAGGAAGTGTTTTGGGGATTATCTAGAAGATAGCAAATATTGTATCTGCCCATGGTGCATGATCAGACCCGATCTGTGAGGGTAGTTAGGTGATATTTGACCCTAGTGCACCTTCTGTCTTCGGGAAACGGTTGCCAGATTCTGCTACAGGGTTCTGTGAATTCACGGGGGTGGGGGTCGGGTGGTAAGCAACCCTCCATGCCATTGGGGCATCTGAGTAGAATCCCAATGTTCAATAGTAGCACTGTTGCACTGTCTTCCTGTTGTTCATTGATTTGCTCGAGCGGGCACCAGTAACGTCTCCGTTGTGAGATTTGTTGTTACTGTGTTTGGCATATCGAATATGTCACGGGTAGCTTGCCAGGCTTTGCTGTGCGAGCGAGATACTCTTGGTAGCTTTCCAGGCTCTCTGAGAGGGATGAAGGAATCGAACCCGGGTCGGCCGGGCTGGCTGTGTGCAAGGCAAACGCCCTACCGCCATGCTATCACTCCAGCCCTATGTTAAATAGTAAATTTGGTAAATTCGGTCTTCCCAAGGTGGCTTTCTGTTCTCTTCCATATCTCCAGACTTGTGAAAGGGGAATAACTCCCAAACTCTGGCTTAAGACACAGCACCGCACTGTTGAGTATTTCCTCTCACTGTCTCTGAGACAGATTTAGAGAGCGGTTCAGCCTAGTGTCCTGGCCCAGCGCTCTGTATAAGTCATAGCCATAAGGTAGCTGAGGCCCTCCGGGGCTTTGCGAGTGTCTTCACTAAGTGCCTCGCCACTAAGCTGGGAGAGCCCCACCAGGCTGCAGTACTGGTGTGTGCCTGGCCTCCTTGCTCAAAGTCTAATGTGGCTTAAAGAGTGAAACGGTCACTTATTGGCCCTTCTGATCTAGCCTCAGAAGTTCCACATCACCTCTGCCACAGTCCTACTCATCCAAGTGATCTCAAAAACCTGCACAGCTGGGCCAGAGCCGTAGTACAGCGGGATGGGCGTTTGTCCTGCACGCGGCTGACCTGAGTTCAATCCCCAGCATCCCATAGGGTCCTCAGAGCACCGCCAGGAGTAATTACTGAATGCAGAGCCAGGAGGAACCCCTGAGCATCGCTGGGTGTGACCCAAAAAGAAAAAAAGAAAAACCTGCATAGGGGAAGGGCCTTAGATTCCAGGCCTGATTGGCAGGTGTGTCCACTCCCCACCCTTGCTTTAAAACCAGGCACCCCAACACCCTCCCCGTATACACATCTCCACCGACCCTGGAGCAGCTTCCTCTTCCAGGATTATCCCTTGTGAGATTGTGTCTATAGAGGGTTCTGAACTTATCCTAAGTGGATATTTACTGATTTCCTCACAAGACAGAAAACAATCTCATAGTCCAGAAGAGCTGGACGAAGGCAATGGGATATGTAACCAACAGGGCCAGTAACAAGGTGCACAACCTCTTTTCAACTCTGTTCCATCCATTTCTGTTTCAGCTAAGGATGTTTGGGACTCAGCTCTGTGTCCCTGACCTCCCGGGGTTTGCTGAGAGGAGAGAAAGGCATAAGGCGTCGCAGAACCTTGAGGGGAAACACCTCCCCAGGCACTCAGTTGGAGAGCAGAAGTCAGTTGATCTCAGTACAGAGAAGTTTCAGAATGGAAGTAGGATGTGTGTGTGTGTGTGTGTGTGTGTGTGTGTGTGCGTGCGTGCGCACATGCACACGCCATTCTAATTCCAACAATTCCCATGTGGTTAAGACGTCAAGCGTTAGATGTGCTATGGGATCACCATCTCATTTTTTTTTTAATTTTTATTAGTGAAACACCATGAGGTACAGTTGTAGACTTACAAATTTTTGTGCTTGGGTTTCAATTATACAATGATCAAATACCCATCCCTCCACCAGTGCCCATTTCCCACCACCACGGATCCCAGTATCCCTCCCACCCCCATCCTCCCCATCCCACCCTGCCTCTGTGGCAGGGCATTCCCTTTTGTTCTCTCTCTCCTTTTGGGTGTTGTGGTCTGCAAAAGAGGCATTGAGTGACAATCATATTCGGTCCATAGTCTACTTTCAACACACCATCTCATTTGACTCCCCTGAGACTCTCGAGGTAAAGACGATCACTCTCACTTTGAAGAGGGAGAAACTGAGTCTCAGAACCTGTGAGGGACCTGCGAGGTAGGGGGGGGGGATTAACAGTGAGGGCTCCTTGTCTCCGTGACTCAGCCTTATCACACCAAACCCTCGGCGTCCAAACAGCTCGCACCGTCCCTCCTCCCAGATTAATTGGAAATATTGTGCCGAAGCCACGAGCACCAGCCGCCGAGGTCCCATGCGGTGTCCTATAATTAAACCCTTAGTTGCATTGTCGTCGTCCCAATTCTCAAGGTCTCCAAACATCCATCCCCGGTAAGACAGCGAGAATACTCTGGGAGTTCTGAACAGTGCACACAATCATGTCTCTGCCGGTGTCTGCTCCTGGCATCTAGATTCAATTCATTTCATTTCCTTCATCTCTCTAATTCTTCCACTTCCATTGCCGACACTCTGCAGATCCTGAGAAATCCCATTTCTCAAACATTGCCTCTCTCGATCATGGGCGAGTGCAGGAAAAAACTTGGGTTGAGGTAGCAGAGAAGTGACTTGAGGAAAGAAGCTGATCAGGATCTCACTTGCGAGGGTATCAAGAACTCACCTGATTTTTGTCCCAGTATTATATTTTGAAATAGCACAGCGGGTAGGGCGTTCGCCTTACAAGCGGCCAACATGGCCGACCCAAGTTCGATTCCTCCGCCCCTCTCGGAGAGCCCGGCAAGCTACCGAGAGTATTCGATATGCCAGACACAGTAACAACAAAGTCTCCAATGGAGACGTTACTGGGCCCGCTCGAGCAAATCGACGATCAACGGGAGGGCCTTTACCTTTTACCTTTTATTATATTTTTATGGACTGGAGTGATAGCACAGCGGGTAGGGCGTTTGCCTTGCATGTGGCCAACCCTGGCTCGATTCTTCCGCCCCTCTTGGAGAGCCCGGCAAGCTACCGAGAGTATCCCGCCCACGCGGCAGAGCCTGGCAAGCTCCCCATGACGTATTCAATATGCCAAAAACAGTAACAACAAGTCTCACAATGGAGACGTTACTGGTGCCCATTTGAGCAAATCGATGAACAATGGGAGGACAGTGCTACAGTGCTATTATTTTTCATGTCAGGAGAAGAAATCCTTCTTTAACCTTGATTTCCCCTCCTACAAAGTGCTAGAATTTGAACGTTGTTTCCCTTCTCCTTCTGTGCACTTGAGAACTTAATTTATTATCTATTTATTTATTCATCTTTCTGAGGCAGAATTGCAGAAGGGGAACTTTAGGACCTGATTAGAAAAACCAAAAAGATATTGAATGTTTGAATGGGAATCTATCACTGGGAAAGTGGCCTGAACTTAAATGTTCTGGAGGAAAGCAGAGCCAATTCACAAATATTTGTTGAAACTCCAACACGCCAGGCAAAATCCATGAAAGTTTCCTAAGAGGGCCTGATGAATAGGAATGAATTGTTCAACAGCCATTATGGAAATTTGAATTTCTTATTCATGTGAACTTTGGGGCATGCACTTTCCTTGGGTAATTTGGTGAACAAATAATATTTGTGCACTTATTCTCAGATTCATTTTTATGGTTTGACTTTTACTATCTCTGGATTTCTGCCACCCATGGTATTCTGTCTCCCTGACACAGCTAACACAGTGCTTTCAGTTTTTCATGGCAAAAATCTTCTATTGGCAGCCATTTTTAGGAGCTTAGGTCTATAAATCGAGGCAGTATCAATGCACATAGCTGTCCTTATAACTGATGCAGGAGATTAACCTTTTCTGTGTGCCAGGCTCATATTCTGTGATGTTGAGCTCTGGGGTTCAATGAGAGATGGTGTTTACCCTCCGGAAGTTTGCAAACTATCGAACAAACGACAATTTTCTGGCTAGATATCAAAGTTTCTTAAGGTTTATTTGGCTTCTAAGGATGAAAACTCTCACTCAAACTGGCTTAACTAAAAATATAAAAGTGGGGACTGTAGCGGTTAGGGCGTTTGCTTTGCCTTGCATGCAGCCGACCTGCGTTCAATCCCTGGCATTCCATATGGTCCCCCGATTGCCACCAGGAGTGATTCCTGAGTGCAGAGCCAGGAGGAAACCCTGAGCGTCACTGGGTGTGACCCAAAAAGCAATATATAAAAAAGGGAATGACATTGGATTGGTCATATAATCTTGAAAGTCAGAGGTGTTTCGCTTTCAAGTGTTTTGAACCCAGGTACTCATAAGATAGCATCAGAAACACACACACACACACACACACACACGCACACACACATATATATGTATATTTACTTCCTGGCTCTGAAAGGGCCTTTATTTCTAGAGATAAGATGGCTTCTGGCAAGGCCAAGCGACTCAGAAAGCTCAGGCAAAAGAGAACTCCTGGGAAGTTGAGTCATGCATGTATTCATGAAACAACCACTATGGCCAAAAGGAATGAAGATGCTTGTAAGCCTGACTTGAATGTGCGTCTCCTTCCTCACTCATCCCCAGCAGTGGGAAGAGAAATCAACTCTAGTTGGCTGATACAATATGAGAATTGTGGGTGCGGAGTTAAAAAAAATATGTGAGGAAGGGACATTGGAAACCAGGAGATTGAACCTAGTAGGGCTCTACTTCCTGGTAGTAAATGGTTTATTCCATGCAATGTCCATCAGGCTATTAGGGCATGCTCAAAGGGTATCAATCATTGGAATTGCCTTCTCTTTGACAAGAAATGCCCCTCCTACCCTCGCCAGTCTGGGTTGAAGAGACCCTAAGTTTAAACCTGCAGTAATCGGACCCAAATTTGCTCTTCCTTGCAGTGACCTGGACAGAAATAACATCACCAGGATCACCAAGACGGACTTTGCGGGACTCAAGAACCTTCGAGTCTTGTAAGTAGCTTGCAACTCTCCAGTACACTTTGCTTTCAGCTCTTCGACCTTATAAAAACGTCCACTCCTGGGCTGACATCACACCCTACCCACTGGGCCATAAGAATTCACTGCTTCACAGCAGAAAGAATTCCACCCCCCCCCCCCGCCCCTTTTTCTTTTTTTTTTTTTAATGTCCTCAGGTTTGCACAGGCATCTCATTCAGTGTCTCCAGCTGCTTGCTGGGCTGGATGGATGGAAGAAGTCAGTTCCAGTGACAGGGAGAACAGAAGGCTCTCCATGAATAAATCAGCGTGGCCCGCTTCTGGAATGACAGCCACCTCGGGCTGACAAACCACGCTTCCCTTTCATTGAGATAATTTCTTCTCCAGCCTGTGCACTAAAAGAGTGATCAGGACCCAGGTGATTTATCTTGGGGTTTAATGGAGAGGAGCAGACAGGAGCAAAACCCTTGGGGAACAGCCACAGCAGCTGCATAGACAGGTAGCCAGCGTCAGTTGGTGGAATGAGACAGCCAGGAATATTGGGCATCTGTCATTGGTAACACCGTCACTGCACACTTTCACCCCTTCCTGTCTATCAGTGATGAGCAGTTGTCCAAGAGCTTGTCCATTGACAGGTCTCTGGGATGCAGAGGTACGAGCAATGAGTACATGGGCCTATCTCCATCATCAGAAGTTGACTTTTTGACTCACCTGGTTGGCTTCATACAACTGAACGCAGCCTGGGCCATCTGGGCACTGCCTTGGGGTTTGTTCGGTCATGGAATCTTGACTCATGAGTCCTTGCTAGAAGTCACTGCTGAAGCCTTGCCATCCGATGCCACTCCCTTCCCTTTCACTAATAACCTTTAGAAGACAAAAGGTTTTGTTCTAGGGACAGGAAATTCTGCATTTGGGTCCTGACTCAGAGGAGTTCAGTTTCCTCATCTGTAAATGAGGGAATGAATAGCATACTGTTGCCTCGGGTTACTGTAAAAGAATGCCACAGCAACAGAACTATGAGGTCTCGTAGTTTGGGAGGCCAGTGTTCAAAGTCAAGGGTGGGTCCTATCAAGAGCTGTTCAGGAAGGATTTGGCCCAGGTCTCTTTTCTTGCATCTCTGGTGTCCTTAGCTTCCATTACTGTCTCTCCCCTGTGTCTCTTCCTGTCTATCAAAGTATGTCTGCCCCTGTATCCAGTGTTTCTCTATAAGAATTGAGTTAGGGTACGGCCCACCCTGATAACCTCATTGTAATTGGACTACCTAGGAAAATACCCTATCTTCAAATTTCCTCCCTCCCTCCTTCCCTCCCTCCCTCCCTCCCTTCCTTCCTTCCTTCCTTCCTTCCTTCCTTCCTTCCTTCCTTCTTCCTGCCTCCCTCCCCTCCCCTCCCCTCCCCTCCCCTCCCCTCCCCTCCCCTTCCTTCCCTTCTCTTCCATTTTCCCTTTTCCCTTTTCCCTCCCCTCCCCTCTCTTCTCCTTCCCTCCCCTCCCCCTGCCTTCCCTTTCTTCTCTTTTGGAGGGTGGAGTGAGGTTGGGAGCACACAGTGGTCTTACAGGCCTACTCTTGGCTCTATGCTTGGAGTTGCTCCCAGTGGTGCTTAAGGCACCATGTGGTGCTAGGGGTCAATCCCAGGCCTCCTGGAGTGTAAATGATGCTTATCTTGCACTCAACCCATTGATCTGTCCCTCCTGCCCAAAGTCACATTCCCAAAGACCAATGACTTGGCACTTAACATAGAGTTTTGTGTGGGGTGGAGAAATAACAATTCAACCTGTAACAAATAGAGTTTATCTCACTCTCGTAGTCACACTAATAATCCTGTATGGTTTTTATCACAGTTAGTCTTTTCTCACTGCAACTTGTGGACTAATATGTATGTTGCTTTTCTAATTGAAAAGTAGGTAGTGGTAATGCTGACAATCCTCAGAGACAGGATGTCTTTCATAAACACGAGCAACAGAGATGGGCATCATTTTTAACACCTCTCTGCCCATAGAATACAGACACCAGGTGGATTTTCGGCCCCAAGCCCACGTAGCAGCTTACGAAGGAGGAAGACTGAAACCCAGAATGCTTTCTGACCTCCGGATAGTCACTGCACGTTTGTTTGCATTATAGCAGGCTTAGAAATCTAAGAAGGTGGCATCATACATTTTTATAGAACCTCCACTCCCAGCAGTGCTGGGAGACCCCATTGTTATCCCCAAAGTGTGAAGGAGGCCATATGGCGGTGGGGGTTAAATCTGGGGCCCAGGGTGTGCCCCGCGTGCCTGCCAGCCCTTTGCACCATCTCCCCAGCCCCTAGGATGTTTACTGTTGAAGAGATGTAATCAGTAAACTGCCAATTTCTGATCATTTTAAGAACTGACATTTAGCTGTTGCTTTACCCTGCCTCGTTTCCCCCACTGCATCTGTGAGAGATTTCCTTTCATAAAGTTAGAATTTTCACCTAATACTTCCTTTGCTAAGCAGTCAAAAATAACCCTTTGATTTTTTTTCTCCATTACATCAAAAAGACTAATAAAAATTCCAATTTCCATAACTTCTCTCTGCAAATAGAAAGTTTAAAATAAGCATAAAGAATTGTATTCATGTCTTCTGGATGATCTACTACATTCCTTTGACTGCAGTTTATCTTTTTAGTTAATTAGTACATTCTTATTTTGAGAGGCCAGAACCCTCTCCTGGTCCCCCCCCCACCCCAACTTGGTTAATATCACAGTATTTCCTTATCTTCCTTACTCAAAGACAGTCCCCTTCAACTGGTCTGTGTTTACTCAGCGAGAATCGGTCAGGATGGAGAACTGGAATTCTCTCTCTCTCTAATAGCAATGAACTATCCAAACATTTAAACCATACTTTCCCTCAGTCTACTCATTTTTGCTGAGTAACCTTGACAACTATTTTTTTTTCTTTTTGGTCACATCCAGCGATGCACAGGGGTTACTCCTGGCTCTGCACTCAGGAATTACTCTTGGTGGTGCTCAGGGGACCCCATGGGATGCTGGGAATCGAACCTGGGTCAACCTCTTGCAAGGCAAATGCCCTACCGGCTCTACTATCGCTCCAGCCCCTGGACAACTATCTTTTAAAAAAGTTTTTAACACAGCCTGACACATTCCCTCTGTTTGTTACTTCAAGTTTACAGTGAAGCTAGAAAAGTTACAATGATCTTGAGTAACTAGACTTTACCGCCCATTTTTATACTTATGGTTTAGGTGATTGGTGAGTGCGTATACAGTGGACATTTGGGGAACTTTGGCCTTATCCAAAGGCACTTTCTTCTCCAAATAAAGTACATTTAGGGAGAAGATATAAGAGTTTTCCAGAGCATGGGTGGTAGGCAAGAAGTCTCTCCCAGTGGTCTCAATTAGAGTCTCTTCTAGTGGGATCAATTAGACTCCCTGTCCTAGTGGTCTGAAGCAAGAACTCTGCTATGCCCACAAAATGGGAGCCAGCTTGATCTCAAGTGGGGTTAATCAAAGAATTAAACTCCACCCAGTCATCATCACATCCCCATGGGACCATTTCCAATTCTGATCCAGTTTTAGAAAAAAAAAATTCCAACAATGCCAAAAAGAGCTGAAAATGAACACAATCTGTGTTCCTTTAACTCGGAGCAGACTCAGGCGCAAAACTGCTTTTCTGGGTGTCCCTCCTGAATTCCACATCTTCCTGCTTGTGGCCAGGAAAATGAGAGTCTTATCGGTGGCGTTAGTACAAATGCCTAAATTGTATCTCAGCTTCAAGTCCGAAGGGGAGGTTTAGAGCTCATCCATTCACTGATCCATCAAATATTAAAATATCGGTTGGTTGGTCTTGATTGAATCCTTAAGGGTCCACGTACAAGGTTAGATTCCGTGGTAGCCAGGAAGCAGACCTAGGAAGGACCCTTTTCTGTCAGGATTCCAGCAGGGAAGGGAAACACTTCACAAATGACAGACAAGAGATGCTAAAAAATTATCTGGCCTTGGGTAAAGGGACAGAGTCACCTGAAGTGACACGGGAGGGAGCTGGGAATAAGTCTTCCAGCCTGGTTCTCCTCCTGTTCCCTGTCCATCATTAGTAATTGTGACTCCCGTCGACTGAACCCAGCAGGAAGAAGCAGCAAGAGTCAAAGAACTTTCTTGATGAAGTGGATGGAAGTGGGGGTTGCGGTGGGGGTGTCCCAGGACATGAGCAAAGTGAAGATGGGCAGACCTCAAATAGATGTATAGTTTCCATTCTTCTACCCCCCCTACTGAAAGAAAAAAATTAATAGTGCTAAATTAGTATAGAGGGGCTACAGCGATAGCAGAGTGGGTAGGGCGTTTGCCTTGCACGCAGCCAACCCGGTGGACCCGGGTTCGATTCCTCTGCCCCTCTTGGAGAGCCTAGCAAGCTACTGAGAGTATCTCGCCCGCACAGCAGAGCCTGGCAAGCTCCCCGTGACATATTCGATATGCCAAAAAACAGTAACAATAAGTCTCACAATAGAGATGTTACTAGGCCTGCTGGAGCAAATCGATGAACAATGGGAGGACAGTGCTACAGTGCTAAATTAGTATAGAATGAAGAGATTTATCATAGGCGATGGGAATTACATTTCCTTGGGAAGCCCAGCGGGAATGTGTGGTGTGTGGTGGTGGTGTTCCCGTGGTAATTGGGACATGATGACGGTAAGCGCTGTGATGGATGGATTGACAGTCTAAACACATCTGGGCAAGCCTTCAGTCACAGCGCTGAGCTGGTCCCCTGTTTAGCAAGGCAGGCAGCTGGGAGCCCACGAGCTTGCTGGGGACGAGAGTGGCAGAGGACATGGAGGGAAAGAAAAGAACCTTCACAGAGCCCTTAATTGTACTCCTGATCCTAGACTACATCATTCACATGCTTTACTTTTCCATGGGCATAAGAGCTTCTGGAATCCCCCACCCGCATTTTTAAAAATGAGGAAATTGAGTCTCGGAAGTGACGAGAAGCTGAGGGTCACATCGTCAGTTAAAAGAGAGCAAACAAGGGGAGTCAGAGAGATGGGATAGTGAGAAAGGCACTTTTCCTTGCATGCACCTCACCTGGGTTCCATCCCAGACATCACATGGTCCCCTGAACCCTGCCAGGAGCACAAATCCAGGAGTAAGTCCTGAGCACTGTTGGGGTGGTCCAAAAATTTTTTTTTAAATAGTAGGAAACTGATTATAAACTGGAACCTGGGAGTGAGCTGTGTGTCCTTACAAATAGTTTCTCCTTGGAATATAGGCTTTCTGTGCCATTGTGGGCTGGAGTGACAGCACAGTGGGTAGGGCGTTTGCCTTGCATGCGGCTGACCTGGCCGACCCGAGTTCGATTCCTCCACCCCTCTTGGAGAGCCCGGCAAGCTACCGAGAGTATCTCGCCCGCACGGCAAAGCCTGGCAAGCTACCCGCGACGTATTCTATGTGACATATTCTATTGCCAAATACAGTAACAGCAAGTCTCACAATGGAGACGTTACTGGTGCCTACTCGAGCAAATCAATGAACATCGGGAGGACAGTGCTACAGTGCACTTTGTCATTGTATTCACGTGTGTTGACTGAGGTGTCACTAAGGGGCAGTCTATAAAGTCCAGAGAGCTCATCTGTGTGGGAGTGTGGTAAACTGGGGGGCTCTGGGGCCCTGCCTGAGCCATATTCGCTCTTCTCAAATGTCGATGTTTAGAAATGTGGGAGCTGAGTTTTCAAAAGGAGGTTCTTTTGGTGTGTGTGTGTGTGTGTGTGTGTGTGTGTGTGTGTGTGTGTGTAATGTATAAAGATTTTTACTTATTCTTTGCAGCCAAAAAAAAAAGTTAAATATAATGGAACCCAACAAAATACCTAAAATAATACGTGGCCACTCAGTCAGAGAAACTGCACATGTGATTTTGACTGAGGTGGATCTTTCTTTCTGGAGAGAATATCAGTATGTACAGTGACCCAAAGTCTTCTATAATTTTTAAAATCAGTTCAGTAGCCTTTAATTTTTAAATGAACTGATTTTGGGGGCAGGGGGTGGTAGACTCTCCATGTTGCTCAGGGCTAACTCTGGGCTGAGTGCTCTGGGGACCATATAAGATGCTAGGGATCCAACCAGGATCAACCACATGCAAGGCAAGTGCCATAAAACCCTGTATTTTTTTCTTTTGGGGTCACACCGGTGATGCACAGGGGTTACTCCTGGTTCTGCATTCAGGAATCACTCCTGGTGGTGCTCAGGGGACTCTGTGGGATGCTGGGAATCGAATACGGGTCGGCCGCGTGCAAGGCAAATGCCCTACCCGCTGTGCTATCGCTCCAGCCCCAACCCTGTACTGTTTTTATTTTTAACTTTTTGGACTTCCCAGGCAGTGCCCAGGGGCCCCGGGGCCACTCCAGTGCTCATTGGCCAAGCAGGCCAGACGGCTCAGGGCTTGCGCCCGGGGATACGATTGATGCTTCTCCATCCCAGCAGTACTTGGGGGCTGCCAGGGGCTACACTTTGTGGTGCTCCACAGGCCGTGCAGTACCAGACATCAAACTCAGGCCTGTGTGTGTGTGCATGTGAGTGTGTGTGTGTGTGTGTGTGTGTGTGAGAGAGAGAGAGAGAGAGAGAGAGAGACCAGAGCAACCTCCCCAGCACCCAGTGAGCCTTTTGTCAGAAGAGGCAGCTGGACCAGGGTTTTGAGGATGGAGCAGAAGTTCTTACCCCCTTGGCTGCTAGTCAGAGCAGAAAAGATGGGCTTGAGAAGGGGGCTGGAGAGATAGCTCCCGGGATGCTTTGCATGACAGGAGATTCATGTTTGATCCTTGGCGCCTCCCAGCATCACTGCTCCGCCCCCCAACCCCTCTCCCACCGCCCCCCCCATGCCTCCCCTGCCCTCGCCCAGCATGGCCAGAATTAACCCCTAAGTACTAAGCCAGGTTTCTCCTTCTCGGAGAGCCCGGCAAGCTACCGAGAATATCCCGCCCCACATGGCAGAGCCTGGCAAGCTCCCCGTGGCGTATTCGATATGCCAAAAACAGTAACAATACCAGGTCCCATTCCCCTGCCCCTGACCCTGAAAGAGCCTCCAATATGCCATTGGGCTACTCTATCACGCGGCAGGGACGAATGGAGACGTTACTGCCATCCGCTCAAACAAATTGATGAACAATGGGACCACAAGTGATACAAGTGATATAAGCCGGAAGTCCCCAAACCAACAAACAGAAAAAATGAACTTGAAAAAGAAAATAACAAAACACAAGATCTGGGTTGTTAAAACCTACTCAGGTCGGGGCATATGGGTCCTCTGGAAGGAAAGGGGAGGGTTGTTCTGGGAAGCAGTCCTTTGCAAATATGAGTCTTCTCAAGACTTCTCCTTCCGGGGGCTGGAGCAATAGCACAACGGGAAGGGCGTTTGCCTTGCATACGGCCAACCCAGGTTCGATTTCCCAGAATCCCATAGGGTCCCCCAAGCACCGCCAGTGCAGAGTGCAGAGCCAGGAATAACCCCGTGCATCACCAGGTGTGACCCAAAAAGCTAAATAAATAAATAGGACTTCTCCTTTTGCCCCACGGGTGCCCACACTTCCTCCGGGGGAACCCGGGACTCTCCCTCGGCCCCACCTTCCATCCCCAGCGTCACTACTAAATCCCGTCAGCCCCGGGCTCGGCTCCATCCCACCTGCCAGGCTGTCCCGTCGTCCATTCTCTTCCCCATCAGCCAGGGAATCCATTGTAAGCTGCCATTTGTCTCCTCCTTTATTTATTTTTTTAAGTCGGGGAAACACGTTCCATGGTGTGCCAGTGTCTCAGGAGTTGCCACGGGCATGACCCACGCTCCCGGAGCCCGAGTGGGTGGGTTCTCGTGATCACCCCCCTGGAGCCCGTGACAGATGAGTCTAGGCTTTGGCGGGCCTCAAGCCGCCGCCGCCACCACCACCGCCGGGTCCGGGGCAAATGGGGGCTCCTGACGGAGCTGGTGGCCCACAATAGCTTCACCCCGTCTGTGAGGTGACCCAGAGCCGGCGCCCTTTTCAATGAAGTATTTTTAAATCCTTGGAGGAGGGAGCTCCAAGGGAATAGGTGCTGAATATATGTGTGGTTCTTTTCTTTTTTTTCCCTTTTTTTCCCCTTTTTTAAATATAAAAAGCAGTTTTTACCTCTTCCTTTTCTGTGCAACATCCTGCAGTGCTTGGGGGGACATTTGCTGAGAACATTCTTAAAATAGAGGCATGGAAACCAATCTGTCAGGTAGAAGTGTGCAGGCGGCACCAGCCTGGTAACCGTGACACCAAGCTGGGACGTGAGTTCTCTCGTCCCACCCCACCCCCACCCCCGCAGCCTGGTCGGGCTGGGGGGGGGCCCGGAGGGTCACAGGAGGGGCTGGGGCACCTGCCCCTGCGCCCGTTGCCCGGCTTCACTCTGACCCCCGCTGCTTCTCTGATTCTAGGCATCTGGAAGACAACCAGGTCAGCGTCATCGAGAGAGGCGCCTTCCAGGATCTGAAGCAGCTGGAGCGATTGTGAGTACAGCCCGTCCTCCTTTCTTGAAAGGGCTTTTTTAAAAAAAAAATTCTTTCTTTCTCTCTCTCTCTCTTTTTAAACAAAGTGGCCTTATAGTGACCTTGCTAAAAAGAGAGTTTCCAATGTTCAAGAAAATGTTTGCTATTAACGCACATGAGATGCATGTTAAAGAGACACAGGGATCCACTTCAACTCTTTTCTTCTCCCAGAGCTGCAAGAACTGGGTTTGTTTTTCTTCTTCCCAGCTTTGAGTTGTTCTCTCTCTCTCTCTCTCTCTCTGTCTGTCTGTCTCTCTTTCTGTCTCTGTCTGTATCTGTCTCTCATTCTCTCTCTCTCTTGATCTGTCTCTCTCTTGTCTGTCTCTGTCTGTCTCTGTCTCTCTGTCTCTCACTCTCGCTCTCTCTGTCTGTCTCTCTTCCTGTCTCTCTGTCTTTGTCTCTCTTTCTTGTCTGTCTCTGTCTGTCTCTGTCTCTCTGTCTGTCTCTCACTCTCTCTGCCTGTCTCTCTTCCTGTCTCTCTGTCTTTGTCTCTCTCTCTTTCTGTCTTTCTCCTTCTCTCTGTCTCTTCATCTCTTTGTCTCTGTCTCTGTCTCTGTCTCTGTGTGTAGGGGTGGTTGGGGAGCTGGTTCTTGCCAAAGCCCCCCTTACTCCAATCATGGAAATCCAGCTCAGTCTCCCTGTACCCCTCGGTGTGCTGGCGGGCCCTCTCCTGCCCGCACCCCTCTGACCCCCTCGTCTGGAGCCCCCTCACCAGCCCCCTTGGCCCCCTATTCTCGTAGGAGAGGAAGCACAGCGAGGGGGCCAGGCGAGTGCAGGGCCGCCTCTCCTCGGAGCGAGAAAGCCTTCCTCCCCGTTTCCACGAGAGAAGACGCGGTTTAAAAATAGGCCACGGCAGCTTGGCGCGGTGCAAGGCGCAAGGCAGAGCGCGGGGACAGGAGCCGGGTGGCGCCTCCGTTTGTTCTGTGGATGAGCAGGCGTTGGCGGAAAACGCTCGGACCGCGGGCACAAGGGAGACCGCTCAGGTGTCTGTGGAGTGGACAGCCCCCCCCCCCCCCCCCCCCCGCCGCATCCCTCACTGAGTCACAGCTGGCAGCTCCTAACATCTGGATATTTGCTTCCTCCCCGCCGAGCGGGGCCGGTCCCGGGATACTTAGTCACACTGGTGGGCGGCTCTCCCGAGTTCCCGCCACGCTCTGGGGGCCCCGACTGGCAGTCGCCCTCTCCTCCGTCAGCTCCCCTAGAAGGGTGCTCGACTTCACCCCCACCCCCACCCGTTGCCAGATCTCACCTGCAGGAAGGGGATTGGGCAAGGTGGAGGGCTCTTTGTCGCCCACTTGGAGCTTTTTTTTAATTTTTCTTTTTAAATTCTATTTTTATAAAGTTGTTCACAATGATTTATTTACTTTTTGCTTTTTTGGGTCATACCCGGTGATGCACAGGGGTTACTACTGGCTCATGCACTCAGGAATTGCTCCTGGCGGTGCTCAGGGGACCCTATAGGATGCCGGGGATCGAATCCGGGTTGGCCATGTGCAAGGGCGAACACCCCACCCGCTGTACTATTTCCTCCAGCCCCTCACAATAATTTATTGCATTCAGTATTCCAACACTAATCCCGCCAGCATTACACCTTCCCACCACCATTATTTTGAATGTTCCCACCACCCACAGAGCCTGCCCCCAAAGCAGGACCTAAATAATTTATTTTGCATGCCTTGTTATGAATAATCCGCTAAAAATGATCCCAAGAAGTACCCTTAGAGGAAAGTGTGTGAAGATTGTGGTATCTCACCCTGGAGCCATTAAGCCCTTGTGTAAGAGATTATTAACATGTTGTTACAGGTTGAGCCTGGTGTGCATATATATATATATATATATATATATACATATATATATATATATATATATATACATGTTTCAATCGAGATTGGTTGCCTTCTCCTTCACACTCCATCAAATGTGTTGTGCTACTCTTGGTACATCAGTGGCGTAGAATATGAGATGTTGCATTCACGGCCGTGCGCTTCAGGGATTCTAAAATTTTAAATAGGGTGATACAGCTGGAGTTAAATTTTTAACTGGATGGTGACTTTGGGGTCCAGAGGCATTTCTGCAGCTTGTTTCTCTCTTCCGGGATTTATTTGTGATTTTTGGATCATGGCCCTTAACGAGCTTATATGATGCTAGAGGCAGTTTGTGGGCGTGACTGCCAGACTCCCAGAAGAACCAGGAGACTGCTTGGAGCTTTGAGGTCTCTCATTTTTCCTCTCAGTGGGTTCTTTTTTTATTTTTATTAGTGGAACACCATGAGGTACAGTTGTAGATTTACAAAGTTTTGTGCTTGGGTTTCGATTATACAATGATCAAGTACCCATCCCCCCACCAGTGCCCATTTTCCACCACCACGGATCCCAGTATCTCTTCCACACCCATCCCCCCATCTCACCTTGCCTCTGTGACAGGGCATTCCCTTTTGTTCTCTCTCTCCTTTTGGGTGTTGTGGTCTGCAAAAGAGGCATTGAGTGGCAATCATGTTCAGTCCATAGTCTACTTTCAGCATGCATCTCCTGGGAGGATCCTCCAAACACCCTTTATTTGGTGCTCCCTTCTCTATCTGAGCTGCCCTTTCCCCTAGAGTGCCTGGCTGGCCTCTAAGCCAACAGTGGGTTCTTATGAGGGGATTCATCCCCACACTGATGGGTGAAGGGGTTCCTTGATTACTCTTTCCGGGTCAAAGGTCAGCATCTATTCTATGGTAGGGATTTGAAAATGTCACTTTTCTTTCTTCTAAGGAAAAAAAATCACTCTAAAAACAATGAATTTTGCCTCAGTTTACACTTTCAAGTTTCTTGAAACTTAGATTCTGCTCCTTATTTAGACCAAGGTTGGGGGACGGGTGGGAGGGAATAAGTGTCAGACATCTTTCTTTGTCTGAAATAGCATTGACATGAGTAAGATAGTTTCTTGCACCATATTCTGATTAGAAGGGTCAATGCATTCCCAGTTTATTAATTTCATGGTTGTTGGGAGGGAGCGAATTGAGTAACTTGGGCCTGCTAGGAATTCTGCCAATGTTTTCTCTGTTGTGTGACAACCCCCCCCCCCCCCCACACACACACACACAGAGCAATCCTGTGAGGTGTCACTACCCTCCTGTTGCAGGTGAAGAAACAGAGGCCCTGAGGGGTGACACCAAGGGAAGCGTCGGGGTGGGAGGAAGCCAAGACCGGAAGCTCCACATACCTGCCTGATATCCAAGCCCACATCCTCCACTGTATGTGTCACAGACTTCCTCCAGTGCCATTGCAGCAGTGGCCCTGCAGATGGGCCCTTCATGGACCCTTTTAACTCCAGAGCCGGCTGGGGAAATACTCTGGCAAAGGCACTTCTCCTTGGTGAGAATGGCTCAAGTTCCGTGCTTGCCTCGGAGACTGGCGGGTCCCAGCAGCCCTGGTGGGTCACTTTGCCTTGAGGCTGGGGAAGGTTGGTGCTGATTGTGGGGCCTGATCCACCCTCAGTGCCCCCAGACCTTGGAAGTTGACTTCTTGATAGCACAGCGGGGAGGGCATTTGCCTTGCACGTGGCCGACCTGGGTTCGACTCCTGCATCCCATAGGGTCCCCCCAAGCACCGCCAGGAGTAATTCCTGAGTGTATGTAGAGCCAGGACTGGCCCCTGAGCATCGCTGCATGTGATGCTCCCCCCCCTCAAAAAAAAAGAAAAAGAAGGAAGTTGATTTCTCATTTGTGTCACGCCCACTATGCGGCAGTGCTTATGTCCTGGCTCTCCTTTCTCTAGGGGGCGCCCCGGTGAATAGGGCGCCTTTTCCTCTCCAGCTCTGCCTTCTTTCTGTGATGGTCTCTCCACCGGAGCAGTGTGTCTCTGCAGCAGGCCAGCGGAAGGGGAAGTGAGCCGAGGAAGTGAGCACAGGAGGTGTTCTTGTGAAGGGTCTAGAAGTGTCCCCGGCACTTAGGCACTCGCAGTCCAGGGGTAGCAAAATTCAGAGGAGGCTGGGAAGTAGCGGAGCTCTATGCCCGGAAGTCGGGTGAACAGGTGGACTGAGGGTCTGGTCAGTCCCTGACTCCACCTGTAGGTGAGCTGACGTGTGTGTGTGTGTGTGTGTGTGTGTGTGTGTGTGTGTGTGTGTGTGTTCGGGAAGAAGGAAGACCAAGGGTCAGTGAGAGGGTCTGGCTATGGCGGTGCCCTGATTAGTGACGAACTGAGTTTAGTTAGTCAGTCTGCTCCCCAACTGACCGAGAACTAGAGAATAAAAGGACATCGATACACATCACTGTATCACTGTATCACTGTCATCCCGTTGTTCGTGGATTTACTTGAGTGGGTGCCAGTAACATCTCTATTCCCAGCCCTGAGATTTTAGCAGCCTCTTCTTACTCGTCTTTTCCCAACAATTGGAGGCTCTTTCAGGGTCAGGGAAATGAGACCTATTGTTGTTACTGGTTTTGGAATATCGAATATGCCACGGGGATCTTGCCAGGCTCTGCCCATGTGGGAGGGATACTCTTGGTAGCTTGCTGGGCTCTCTGAGAGGCGCGCATATATATATATATATATATATATATTTGTTGTCTACTGTCTGAACCCCATCAAATATGGTGTGGTAATTATGGAAAATGGGTAGGAAGTGGTCTAGAAAGCAGCCTGGAGCATGGCGGCGGTTGGGTAGTGAAGATCGGCTGCTGGGGTTGGGTCCCTTGAGGTGGGGAGAGCTCTCACCTGCCCCACCCTGGGGTGCCCCGAGTGAAAACAGCCTGGCGAGGAGTTGATACACACACACATACACACACACACACACACACACACGCGCGCACACACATATATATGCAGTATATTCACCAAGGAAGTCGGTGGCTGCTTGGGCTGCCTCTGACATGCGTCTCTGACTTACTTTATCTGTGTCTCCTTGTTTCATTAATTGTTATTGATTATACTTAGAAAGACAGGCTGGAAGTTCTGCGAGTTTTGATCATTCATCTCTGC